AATTAAATTAAATTTGCAGGACGATGGCGTTTGTTCTCAAAAGTATGGTGACAAATTTGTAGAACTTTATGAGAACATGATCAAAAGAAACGACAAACTTCGAGTTTGTCTGGACGACAAGAATGAGCAATTCGTAAGATTATTTTCTTTCAATTTTCTTATATCATCTTAAATTTCAGTTCGAAGATTCGGTCTGCCTCGCATACCCAGAAGAACGTCGTCACGAATATGACAATGCCATTCGACGTCTTCTGAAACATCTTTTGAGTATTCAAAATCCAAAAGAGAGAGAGAGAGGGAGGGAGTCTCTCTCTCTCAACACAAAGAGAGAGAGAGAGACTCTCTGTGTTTATAAGAGGTCACATGAGGCAGGGACACAGCACCATATATAGAGAGAGAGAGATATATCTCTCTCTTGTGTGTGTGTGTGGAATACAGGGAGAGAAGAAAGACACACACACCACACAGCGTGTCTCCCTCCCTGTCCCCGTCTCTCTCTCTCTCTCTCTCTCTCCCTCGATTGCCTGAGAGAGAGAGAGAGAGAGACTCTCTCTCTCTCTTTGTGTGACACACAGAGACCCATCTTCTTCTTCTTCTTCTTCTTTTTGCATTCCCTCTCTCTCTCTCTCTCTCTCTCTCTCTCTCTCTCTCTCTTTCCAATTTTTTCTCCTTCATACAACACCAACCACAACCTTCTTCTTCTTCTTCTTCCTTCTTTTTCTAGTCATATAGATATTCTTCCTCTTTTTTAGTCTTTTTTTGGTAAAGATGTATCGATTTTTGTATTTGCACACTTTTGATCTTTTTTGATCTACATAGATTTAACAACAAATTCCAGGACAAAGACCCGCTGCCCGGTCAAACGTTCTTGACAACCATCTACTCGGAGCCACTCTCCCTCCATCGTCGTTGCCAAATTCTGATCGCTTTCGACGTCGGAAAATCGATTCCTGAGATTTCAGCGTTAATTGGCTGTTCGGAAAGATCGGTAAGGGTTTTTTGGGTGTCAAAATTAGGGTTTTAGGGGTGTAAGAGGTCAAAATTGCGCTCAAAAAGTCGCCGAAAATTCAATTTTCACAGTTTCTAAGGTTCAAATGGTCTAGAAGGTGCTTTAGAATCAAAATAATTTGAAAATTGAAAAACCCCCAAACTTTAATTTTTAAAATATTATATTTGCAGATCAAAGAAACCCTCTGCACTCGAATCCTTATTGATCGTCATCTGGTTGATCAGTACCTCGAAGAGCTCGAAGCAGAAGAAGAATCGAAAAATCCAGAAATGATGAGACAGCAACAGAGAGAGAGAGAGAGAGAGAGGCTCTCTCTCTGTGTGTAGGGAGAGAGAGAGAAAATTCGCTATTTAGGAAAAGTTACCAAAATCTAATAAATTCTAAAAATCATGCACAGTCTAGTTAATTGTGAGCTAACAGATGTCCTTATCACTAATCTACAAGCTCAAAGCTATCGAGAAAGCGTTCAAAACACTTTGGGGCCCTTCTATTTTTATCTGGACTGACAGAGCCTTCAGAGCCTACTGTACAGGGTGCGCAATAATTAATCCCCATACTGTAGAATCTCGAAATTTCTAACAGCTCAATTTCTATAAGAAAATGAGCCCTTATTCCTGGGATTATGGTATTTCTGCTAAAGGACGTACAGATTTTACTATAAAATTGAAACTTTGGAATAAATGGTTACATGGACATTGGCAAGGGACTTTGAAGGCAACTGGAGAGAGAGAGAGAGAGAGAGAGAGAGAGAGAGAGACCTAGTAGAAGCTCTCTTTTTTGCGAATTCTTCCCTTTCTGCTTTCTCGTAGTGAAAAGTGGGCGGGGTTTTGCGTCAAACGTATGTGAGGGAGAGAGAGTGTGTCCCTTTCTCTCTCTCTCTCTCTCTCTCTCTCTTCTAAAGAGAAATTGGAAGCGACAGAACTAGAGAGAGAGAGAGAGGGAGGGAGACCCTTCCTATCCCAGCTGTCAGGAAAGAGAGAGAGAGAGAGAGAGAGAGAGAGAGAGAGAAAGAGAGAGAGACCCTGTCTCTATACAAGTGGAATGGTTAGATAGAAATTCTCCTATTTTCAAAAATCGGTCTAAAAATTCTAAATCAAGGGATCTACCGTATACTGACACTTTGAGCTCAATTATCTCAATTCCTATTAGACATATCCAAATTTGATGAACTACAAAAATGCTTGGGTATATCATCTTCTAGATTTTGGCAGTTGATGGTTGTTGATATCTCTTATAGAAATATAGATAGGCGGACCCAAACTTCTAGAATCACACCTACCCCAGAGGTATCAACAATGACTGCTCCATGAATGCGTCGTCCCAAATAACTCATATAGACATCCGGTTTGATACAAATCAGTGGAAGCTTGTTGGCTGTCAATTGGATCGGTGGAAGATATAGTTTTGGTGCTGCTGGAAATGTTTACACTTTTTTTGGCTCTAAATCCCAAAAATTATGTTTAGGATTTTATGAAATTCCTAGTATATACATACTAATCAAGTTTGGAGCTTTACTTTTGTAGTTGACAACGATTTTCTACCTACATTAGTTTTTGAGAAATGCGCCTTCAAAGTTGACGGCTGTGCGTAGTAGAAGAGAAGGGGAGGCACGCCCACTTTAAAAGCGCACATTTCAAAGAATACAGTAGCTAGATAAAAAAAATAGAAAGTATAAAAATGTTAGCAATTTTGTTTTATACGTTTTTGTAATTAGCACAATTTTTCTAGCTAATATGGTTCCTGAGTTATGCTCCTTTAAAGTTGCCGTCTGTCCTTTATGCGCATGGGAGCGCCTCCTTTAAAGGCGCATATCTTAAAAACTCTGGTAGCTAGAAAAAAGTTGTCCACTACAAAAAGGTTGGAAATTGACTTATTTACATTTTTGTAGTTAACAACTTTTTTCTAGCTACAGTACTTTCTGAGATTTGCGTCTTTAAAGTTAGCGCGCCCTTTCCTATCTGGCGTCTAAAATCTCTCCAACTTTGAAAGCGTATAGCTCAAAAACTACGGTAGCTAGAAAAAAGTAGTCAACTACAAAAATGAAGTTTTAGTTTTCATTAATAAAGTTTACACTTTGCAGAAGTGACAAACCTTGTCCATCCTCACCCTTGCCCATTTGCATCTGATGAAGTCTCTTTGCATAATCCCCTTTAATATAAATTCCAGCCTTCTGAAACACTCCTTGAAGCATTCTATAATGTTGTGGTGACCCAATCATATTGATTCCATTCGCTTCGAAAATTTCATTAAGCGTCAATTGGACCACTTTTCCATTGTATTCAAAGTCAACTGACTCGTCTAGAGGAACCAGGAAAATTCCAGCCTTGATAATTTCAGTCATCGGGGAGTAGGTACAATTCTCCACGTGGCAATAGAACACCTCTTCTCCAATTTCGTACGGAGGCACTTGTTTCCAGAATAGAGGCCATGGAAGATGATTTCCTGGATAGGCACGTGGCTCCAGAATTGAACTTTCAGGACTTTTCGATAGATTAGCGCGGGAGACTAGATTCTCTAGCCCAACTTCTGCAGGACATGGTTTCTTAGAAGGCATTGGGCTATCTGAAGATGTTCTGATTTTGCTCAGAACATCAGAAATCGTTTGTTGAGGAGGGACTACTGTAGTTGAAACTGCTTTTGAGCCCCCTTCAGTTTGCCATGTGAATTCTGGAGCCTCTCCAGATGCCAACGACTTCTTCTTGTCTTTTTTGATTGTTGGTAGACCGAAAAAGACTGCTCCTTCTGGGACCACATTCTCTCGAAGGGTTATATGGACCAATTGAGCTGCACGATCGGTGACAATTGATTGACGGGTTTTGAAGTTTTTGGAATTCTTTCCTATAAAGTCTTTCAAGGTGATATTGCTCATTCCATGAGTCTTCAGATGGGCCATTTGTTGATGAAGTGCCTCTGATTCAGGGTCGGGGATGTAGGCGGCGGGTTCCTGGAATAGTGGAATCTTTAAAAATCCTAAAATTCTTTTTTGTGAAAATTCCTACAAAACTTTTAGGTTCCCAAAACCACAAAAATATATACCGAATTTCCTGAAATTCCTATTATATCTAGGGCTCCATTTTGTGCAATTGACCTTCTTTATCTCGCTACCGTAGTTTTTGAGATATGCGCCTTTTAAGTTGGCGCGCTAGAAAAAACGTTGTCAACTACAAAAATGATGAAAATGTTATTTTATACACTTTTGTAATTGGACCCCGTGCCTGAACAAAGTGGGAGTCGATCAAATTTAAAGGCGCATATCTCAAAAACTACAATAGTTAGAAAAATGGTTTCAACTTTAAAAATGTGTAAAATTTAAATTTACACATTTTCCTAATTGACAAATTGTTTCTTGCTACCGTAGTTTTTTAGCTATGCGCCTTTGAAGTTGGCGTGCCTCCTAGACCCAGAAAGAAAGGGAGCGCCTTCTTTAAAGGCGCATAGCTTAAAAACTACGGCAGGTAGAAAAAAGGTGTCAATTACAAAAAGGAAGCTCTAGTCTTGTTTAGTATCTTTTGAGAATCTCTGAAAATTTTAAAGAAAGTTTCAGATCCTTGAAATCAGCAAGACTTCAGGCTCCGAAATTTCAACTTTTCGAGCTCAAGCGTTGAGACTCAATTTGAAACTTTAAGCCACATTTTGAATATCCGAAAGGGGGTCTAAAACCAACCTTTTTCTGTCCCAAATCTCCTGGATTCTCAAACTTCTGAATAGGAGAATTCGAATTCCCGCCATTTTGGACATTTCGATGGATGGATGGTGATGGCTGCGGTGTGTGAGATGAAGATGATGATGGAGCTCGACGCTTTTTTGGAGCCACCTGAAACTTTTCAAGGATTTTTTTGGGAAAAAAACTGAGATTTCAAAAAAAATTATTTTATTTTTCAGAATTTTTTAAAATCTGAAATTTTCTAAAACTAACCGGAGTATTATCAAAAACGGCTGCTGACGTGGCAGTGACAAGTCTGGTCGATCTTCGAGGTTCAGAAGACATTTTTATGGAGTCTGAAAATAGGATTTTTCCGCTGAAATTAACAAAAAAAAACGAAAAAAAAAAGGAATTTTCTAGATCCTGGACTCTACTAGGTAGGTCAAAAAAGTCTAAAAAGGTTTATTGGGGGTCATGAAAAAGCGGAAAAGGACTCTAGTTAATCTTTTTGTACATTAGGAAAATTGGCTTCTTTTTTCCCATTTGCAGAAAAAAAAAGGAAAATCCGAGATTTCAAATTTTAAGGGATTTCTAGGGAATTTCTAGAGAAACGAGAGAATTTCAAAAATTGATTTTAAAATGTCTTAAAGGCGTTAAAAACCTCTTAAAAATGATTTTGAAATGATTTTGAAGCGTTTTTTCGCAAAATGCACAAATGGCTTAGTGGGATTTTCGACGTTTCCCTCAACCAATCTGACGACCCGAGTTCAATTCCTCTTGGTGGCAAACCTTTTTTCCTTTTTGTTTTCAGCATTTTCAGCCTATTTTTGAGCATTCAAAGTGCGAAATTTTGAAATTTCAAAAATTGTTAACTTTTTTTTTTGAAACTGAAAATTTGAAATTTTTAAAACATTTTATTTTAAAAATAATTCTCCTAAAATGCTTTATAATAGTCTAAAAGTGATCTAAAAATGAATAAAAAGAATTCGCCACCAAGTGGAATCGAACTCGGGTGGTCAAATTGAAAATTTTGAAAAATCCCACTGAGCCATTTTGGCAATGTTTCGAAAATTTGAGAAATTCTTGTAATTTCGGGGATTTTCGGAGTTTCGGATGCTAAAAATCGCACTTTCGAGCGAATTTGGCAATTTGACAGAGTTTAGAGCAATTTTCAGAAATATTTTTTTGTAATTTTCAAATCATTTTTCAGAGAGAAATTTCTAATTTTCAGAATATCGATACTTAAAAAATCGATTTTAAGTTAAAAAAGAAAGTTATAAAATCGGAAAGTTTCAGAAAGTCGATTTTTCCATTATCGATGCTCTGAAAATGCCCTTTTTTGCAAAAAATTGAAAATTTCCCAATTTTTCCAGATTTTTTTTGTAAATTTTTTGTTTTTCGCTTTCTTTCTGAGAAAATTTGAAATTCCTATTGGAAATGTCCACTTTTCTCCATATGTCTCCATATTTCTCATGTTCCCTCTAAAAGTATACTGTAGTTTCGAAAATATAATTTCTAGAAAAAATACTGAAAATCAAAGAAACAAAAAAACTAAAAAAAGAGAGAGGGAGAGAGAAAGAAATATAAAAAGTGGATAGAAAGAAAATAGAGAGAGAGAGAGAGAGTGAGAGGGAGAGAGAGGCGGAGAGAACCAGAGAGAAAGAGAAAGAGGCGAGAGAGTGTGCGCCACAGAGAGACGCAAAGAGAAAAAGAGAGAAATGATGAGATAATAATGGAGAGAGAGTAGAGAGACGCAGAGAAATCGGATTCTTATGGGAAAAAGCAATTGATTTCTTGGAAAAATTTAAAAATCTGTAAAAAGAAGAGAAATTCCCATTGGGAATTCAAAAAACAAAGGGAAAAAGCTATTTTCACCCGAAATTGACTCAAAAAGTCAAAATTTTGAAATTCAAAATACAGATTCAGATTTGCCAGTGTCTATTTACTAAATTAGCTCAAAAATGAGCCACACTTCAATTTTCTAGCGATGTTTTGAAGAAAGTTATATGTGTGAGTTTTACATGGGTCTGCTAAATATTTAGCAGTCCAACCCTGCATTAGCTAGAAAAAAGATGTCAATTACAAACATGTTTATTATAAAACTTAACACATTTTTTAGCATATTTTTTGCATCTTTACTGGGTACCGAGAAAATTAGTGTCAAAGTTGGTTCACCCCACCTGGCAGGTGTTGCCACTCTAATTATCGCAGCTCCTGGGAAAGATACAAGAAACTTGTAAACTAAGAAAATGTGTAATATACAGTTTTCTAGTAATTTAAATACTTAGAACTATAATTTTGACTTTGTCACAGACTTTTGAATTAAAAAGAAAAAATATATATGTTTAACGTCTTCTGTGGGCGTTTTGGTTTATCGGAAAAAGCCAAGAATCGGGGATTTTTTGCGGGGGAAATGAGAAAAAGGAAATCCAATCGTAGGAAAGCAAGAAATGGCAAGAATTGATTAAAATTATACGGAAATTGGACATTTTTTGGGATGGAAAGGGTAAATGGGCCTATTAATCTTAAAGGCTCTAAGGTTTTCAGAAGATTCTTCAAATAAAATAATTTCAGGAACTCCAAAATATTGTACAATTTTAAAAAGTTTTAAATTCAAAAACTATTTTTTCAGCTATCTGAAAATTCGAGTTTCTTAAAATAAGCTTTTTTCCTGAAATTTCCAGTTTTCAAAATGCTGAAGTTAGCGCCTCTCCTTACCCCGTGCAAATTGGGAGGTGATCAACTTTAAAGGCACATATCTCAAAAACTACGGTAGCTAGAAGAATGTTTATAACTTTACAAATGTGTAAAATTTAAATTTACACATTTTCCTAATTGACAAATAGTTTCTAGGTACCGTAGTTTTTGAGTTATGCGACTTTAAAGATTGTGCATCTTCAACGGCATCACCTGATGCGCGGCAATATTTAAAGGCGCATAGCTCCAAAACTACGGTAGCTGGAAAAAGTTTTCAACTACAAAAATGAAGTTCTGTTTTTGTTTCATGTATTTTTAATAGTTTCCAAAGGATTTGAAAATATTTGAAGTGTTTTCTTGGAATGTTAAAAGTCTCTTTGTTTTTAATTTGTGGTTAACTTTTTGAAAATCCTTTAAAGGTGGGGGGACAGGAGATTTTTCGTAGTTTTTTTGTAGCTAGAGTATGCATTCTACCGTCACGGTGTACAACACTTAATGTCACTCTGCGTACAGCTGTCGTCCTCGCCTTTATGTATGCAATCGGGTGTGCGCTTTCTCTTTGCCCGCGTGGCTCAGTCGGTAGCGGCGCCGCACCCTCAATCATCGTCCTCACAAGTTCAACTCCTCGAGGGGCATCTTTGAACGGAATTTCGAGAACATTATTTTTTTCATGTCCTTTAAAAATTGATATTTTTGACTTCTATGTATTTTATGTTCTCGGTTTTTTGCTCTTAATTATACTTGCATCATAATGTATATTTTTCTTCTTTAAATGTCTCCAAAACTTTTTTTCTATAAATTTCCTGTTGAAAAATGATAAGCCTTCTCCGCCTTCTTAGCTACGCAATCATCTTTTTTTATCAGTGAATTATTTCTGATTGATTGTGCTCTCTCTTTTTCTTTTTTTCATTCATTTGCCCCCAACCTATTGTCTACTTTTTGTGACTATTTTTTGTTACTGGTCATAAAATACTTTTTAAAAAAAGAGTTATGAGTGATAATGGAGATAACGAAAATATGGAGAAAAAACGAGAATCCTCTACGACTTCTTCGTTAGACAGCAAAAGCGACACTGATTTGTGAGTCCACCTTTTTGTTTTGGCAGAAATTCTTGCTGAAAATTGAAATTTTTAGAGAGGAATTGCTGGAAAACGTAGGTCTTGAAGAGAGCTACAATTTGATTTAAAATTTGATATAATTCGATTTCTTTAAATTTGAGAAAAAATGGTTCGAAAAAATATGTTTCCTTTTTTTTTTGAAAAATTTCAATTTTTTCCTTCTCTACATCTCCCCAAAAATAGGTCTGGTCTCAAATTTTGTATCATTTTGTAGCTCTTTTCATGATCTACATTTTCCAATTAAAATTCATTCAAAAACACTTTTTCCTAGTAATTTACGAATCATTTAAAATCCATTTGCAGAATAGTGGACGAACGAGAAACTTCTTGGCAATCAATATATCTTCTAACTGCGATTGGAATGTTTTGTGGAATTCAATTTTCCATATTTTTCCCAACACTTTGGCCATTTTTGAATACTGTCGATCCGACTGCATCGGCTTCGTTTTTCGGATTTATCACTGCCGCTTTTTCAGTTGGTCAAGGGTTGGCATCTCCGGTTTTTGGTTATTGGATGAATAGGGCAAAGTCTGGTAAGTCAAATTTTGCAAAACCTTTGAACGAAAAATCTTGTTTCAACACTCATGACCTTAAACTTTATAAAATGTCCGAGGCTATATCGAAACCCCCGTACTCAGCTTAAATTGAAAAGTGTGAAATTTTAACTGCAGATTTGGATTCTTCAGGGTCGATTTCATCTAGTTCCAATTTTTCAAAAAAATTTAGCAATGGGAATGAGCCAAAAAAACCTCCGCGCGAGCTAGCATTTGAGCTTTCTCTCGCTGTCTGCGTCTCTTCACATTGGCCTGCTAGCTATTTAGCAAGCCAACGCTCTCGTTTCTCTGCATCTCTTTAGGACTGCTAAATAATTAGCAGACCACTTTTCCGCCAGATGGAAGAAAGGTGTGCTTACTTTAAAGGCTCATATCTCAAAAAGTAGAAGAGCTAGAAAAAAGTTGTCTACTACAAAAATGAAGCTCTATTTTTGTGTTGTACACTGACAAAATTTGAAGTAAATTGAACATGTTTGAGTTGCTTTCGTAGGCATTTGAAGGTCTCAAAATGAATTTCTAGCTGTATTAAACGCAATTTTTCTATCCTTGAATTTCAGTCCGGCAACCACTCGTCTTTGGGATCTCAATTATGATTTTATCGAATATAATTTTTTGTTTCGTCGAAGCGTTTCAAGAAAAAGAAAGAAGATGGGTTATGATGGTGGCCAGATTTTTTATTGGCGTTGGAGCTGGAACAATTGGAGTCATGAGAGCATATGCAGCAACTGCTAGTAGTTTAAAAGATCGTGCAAGGGCAATTACCTTTATTCAAGCTTCATATGTCATTGGAATGACTTTTGGTCCCGGAATTCAGGTTTGTGATCTTTGAGAGAGAGAGAGAGAATGTTGAGTTTAATTCAAGTTTTTTACATTCATTTTCCAATTGAATTCCATTTTGAAGTGTCTAGGCATTTCAAATTAGACTTAAAGTTTAACTACACGGTATTATGTGCACTTTGATTTCCTTATCTATATAATTTTTTGGGTTTCCGCCACATGGTGATGATGAATCAAAAAAACCGGAGAACAAAAATCCGGTATAGGGAACTACAAAAAAATGACAAAAAAACTTCTTTTTTTCATTGTTAAGTGGTTCAAAAACGATTATAGCTTAAAAAATTGGAAAAAATTAAAATTTTAAATTTTTCCATGAATCTCAAAAAAAAAGCAATTCCAGGTCGCCTTTACCCCAATCGGGTACCCGGGTTTAGCATCCGGCCCAATCCACGTAGATATGTATACATCACCTGCCTGGTTTGCATCAATTATCTCGTTTCTGTCGGTGCTTTTTATCTTTATCTTCCTGGAAGAAAATTATGCTGGAATTGATGAAAGTGCAGATGATGAGGGTAATTGTTTCTCCATAACTCGGTTCAAAGTTACAATTTTGAAAATTTGACTCCAGATTTGTATTTCCCAGTGCTGATTTGGTCTAAAAACAAATTTTCAAAAAAATTGAGCAATGCGAAAGAGCCAAAAAACGCTCAAGGGAGCTAGCATTGGTCTGCTAAATAGCTAGCAGACCCACTCTCGCGCTGTCTGCGTCTTTTCATATTGGCATGCTAGCTACGGAGACGCAGAGCGCAAGTCAATTGGTCTGCTAATTATTTAGCAGGCCTACGGAGACGCAGACAGCGAGAGAGTGGGTCTGATAGCTATTTAGCAAAAACACTCTCGTTGTCTCCGTCTCTCATTGGTCTGCTAAATATGAAACTTTGCCACTAGACGAAATCGACCCTGTAGAACTCAAATCTAAGTCCAGAATTTCAAAACTTTGAGTTCTAATCGAGTTACAGCGCTCCCACTGCTCCAATCAACTTCTCTGTATTTATCATTTGTTTTTCTGTTGCAGATAGCTACACCGCAATGCCAACATTCGATACGATATCAGTGGCGGTCTGTGTTTTGACTCAATTTACATTGATGTTTATTATCACTAATCTTGAAACGTATGTTTTTTGATTTATGACCTTTTTGATAGGTTGTTTTTTAAAGAATAGGTTCCTTGTACGCCAAAATGATGTGGGGATGGACGAATGCTCAAGCGGTGGAGTATACTGGAATTCTTCAAGCAGTTAATGGCTTGGTTGGGGTTTTGGTGTACGCCTTATTCGCTGTTAAATTGGGAGATTAGTATGTTTTCGGATCTCCAAAACCAAGAAAAAAAAATGAAAAGTTCAGCATCTCACAAGCTCGCGAACGAATCTTCACAATTTTCGGACTGGCACTTGGTGTGTTATATCATGTGGTCACTTTTCCTTACCCATGGGGTAAAGATTTGCATTTCGAGCTTAAAAATGTTACGGTACATGGGAAAAATGAAACGGAGGAGTTGGGATGCAATCCGGAAAAATATAGATGGTGTGGCTATACTAAGGATGTGAGTTTTCTCTTCAAAAGTCCCATAACTCGGCTCAAAACCGAAGTTTCGAAATTTTGATTGCAGATTCGGGTTTTCCGGAGTCTATTTGATCTAAAAGTAACATTTCAAAAAAATTGAGCAATGGGAAAGAGCCAAAAACTCTTAAGGGAGCTTGCGTTGGAGCTAGCAGACCCATTTTCTCGCTGTCTGCGTCTCTTCATATTGGCCTGCTAGCTATTGAGAGACGAAGAGTGCGAGAGAAGTGGTTTGCTAAATATTTAGCAGACCAAAGATAGATACAGTAAGCTTTTTTGGCTCATTCCCATTGCTCAATTCCTCTGGAAATTCGCAGTTATACCAAATCAACCATGAAGAATTCACATCTGAAGTCAAAATTTCCAAATATTGAGTTCTAATCGAGTTACAGCGCTCTAAACATGTAGCATACCAATGCGGGCTTATTCAAACTGTAACTTGGCTGAAACTCAACATTTTGAAATCTAGTAAATTGTAACTGTTAAAGCTTGAAAAGAGCTTTAAATTGGTACAAAATTTGACTTATACAGATTTTTTTGCACCAAAACTCCGGAAAATTTTCTTTCTTTAGGTAATTAAAACATTCTCCTGATGATGGCAGAAAGCCGAAACGTCGAGAACAAATAAATTGTTTCCCATAAATTGTGCAACCATCAATCCGGTCATCAAGAAGATACTTCATCCCCCAATTATAAATCCTATATTGTCAAATTTGATACCATTTTGTAGCCCTTTTCGAGCTCTATAAATTCCAGCTTACTAGGCTTCAAAATATTAAGTTTCAGCCAAGTTACAGTCCGAAGTCAGCAGTTCAACTTGAATTTAAAAAAAATTTGATTTAAAAAGAAACTTCAGGTCAATTTCTGGATCTACGCCTCAATGTACGGTATCGTTCTCGCCGCGTGCTTCCCAATCGTGAATATTTCGATGAACACACTTTTTAGTAAAATTTTGGGCGCCAGGAGACAGGTTTTTGGATTATTTTAATTAAAAAATTATTATTTTTTTCTAATTCTAGGGAACAATGCAAGGGATTATGCTAATGGCTGGAAGTTTCGCTCGAACTGTCGGCCCAATTCTAGTCTCTTGGATTTTCCAAGAATGGGGACCCGAACCCATTTGGGGCATCGAGGTTTTCTTAATTTTCAGAATTCTAGAATTAATTTCAAAAAGTTTCAGATTCTCACTCTATCTGTCACCGCAATTTTCTGGATAATTTTCTATCGACGAATGACTCCGCTGGACACGAAACCCAAACTAAACCCCTATGAATATTTCCATTATGCCAAAGGAGTACTGTATCGGATTTAAATTTTTCACTAATTTTTGGAATATTTTCTATTTTTGAATCATTATCTGAAAACAAAAAAATGAATAAATAAAGATCTCTAACAATTTAAAAATAACTAATTTGACCTAATTACAGAGAAAAAAAATTAAAAAAAGAAGATTAATGACTTTTCAGCAGCTTTTTGGAATTTTCTTCTTGATCCTCTTCTTCTGTTATTAAATTTCCACCGAATTCCTTCAAAAATTGAATTTTAGCATCTTCCAATTTGCTCCGACTCTCCTCGAGCTCAAACTCTGGTCGCTTGCCATGTGGCAACATTTTGGGGTCTGTGATGACGTCGTCGGCGAGGTTCAACGAGGCTTCGTGCTCCAGAATTTTTTCCGTCTGAAATTTTGTTGAATTTTTAAATAAAATCAGACAAAAATACCGTTTCATTCCACTCATAACCACTGGGTGATCCTACTAACAGATGCCGAAGTTTGCCGCCGCTGAGCGCGTTGATTTTCTCAAATTCCAGATCGGACATTTTTGGGATTTCTCTGAAAAAAATTGAGAAGTTCTGGTGAAAAAAAGAAAATCGAGCGAAAATGAGTGACATAAGCGAGCCTGCAAAATATGAAGAGACGCAGACAGCGAGAGAAGTGGTCTGCTAAATATTTAGCAAGCCAACGCTCTATCGCTTCTCTGCGTCTCTCGATAGTGAATAATTAGCTAGGTCAGTGCAATGTGGCGTTTGGGTCTGCTAATTAATCAGTCGGACACCGAGAGACACAGACAGCGAGAGAGTGGGTCTGCTAGCTATTTAGCAGACCTAAATCGTTTTCCCACTATAACTTCCTTCAAAATAGAGCTAGAAAATTGGAATTTGGCTCGTTTTAAAGGATTTTTCGGCCTGAATTTGAATCTTTATTGAATAATAAACATTTTTCATCTTGAGTGGCAAAATATCGCTTCTCTGCGTCTCCTCGAATTAGCAGACCTATTTTAAGCTATTTTAGCCTAATTTTCACCCCTTTTTTGCCAATTACCTCCTCACTGTCGATGTCATAATTGGATTATCATTATCATCAGTGACGGCTCTCTCCTCTGAAGACGTGGACATCACCAGAAACAATCTGGAATTGTCGTCCTCCATAAAAGCGTTTCCCTTCCCATCAAGCACCACTCTCTCCTGTTCTAACAGCCGATTTTCAGCCTCAACTTGTCTGAAAGCTGCCTCGTAATCCATTCCGAGAACTTTGAGTTTTGGAAGCAAATCCTCGAGGATCAAAGCGGATTTTCCCAGGTTTTTAATGTCCGACAAGCCTTCCAGCCGCAGGAATTTCAACTTTTTTGAGTTTTTCAATCCCATAAGTCCTTTTGAAGAGATTCTATGGCAACCAGAGAGATCCAACATCTCCAGGTTCGGTAAAAGTCCTCCGATTCTTCCAATACTCCAATCATCGATAAATTCACAGTTGGCTAGACGTAAGAGACGCAGGTGACTCAGGTTTTCCAGATTTTCGAGTCCTTCAAACATGATTTGGGTGTTGGAGGCGTCGATTGCTTCGATGAAAAGATTATCCACTTTTTGACCGGGCAAACTGTATCTCTAGAAGATTCTGGGATTTTCTAAGTTGTTCCAGAAGCAAGCTTACATTCCATTTATCCTTCTTATACCAATTATCATCGCCTACAAACTTCACGGCGGCGCCACGATGGACTAGAAAATGCGCGGCCGCCAGATCTGCACCAAGAAATAGAAGACGTTCCGGGATAACTCTGAAAACAGTTTCCATACAAGTTTCTTTAAAATTGGATACCTTTGGTCATATTGCATGTGCTGGAAATTTTTATAGCGCCTGTATCGTTTTATATTGTCAATTGAATGGTCGACATAACGCATCTGAGTGTGCCAAGTCAGCAATTCCATCGGCAGCTGACCTGTATCCTTTCTTGTCATGTCAGCCGGCGCCTTTTTAGGAGTTACTGAAGAAAATTAGTATTTTTTAAGAATTTTTTTCTCAAAGATTTCATGAAAAACTTACAATCATCGGGCCTTTCCGGTGTGATATAGAGCCCTGTTGGTAGCTTGATAAAACTCTGATTCCTCTGCTTCTCTTGGACATTCTCAGCGTGTGCTGCTTGCATTTCTTGCCATCGCTTGAATCTCGACCATTTATGTACCCACCCGTATGACTTGGCACTAGTTTTCATGGATCTTATTGAGATTTGTACCCGATTCATTGTTTTTCTGCAAAAAAAGTTAGTGAAAATCAGTTTTCTAAACGCTTTTATCGCCGGAAAACAGAAAATTGCATAAAAAGAAATATTTTTTAAAGGCGCATAGAGTTATTTACGCGGAGGGTCTCGTTGGGAGGCGATGAGAGAGTGTGCGTTGTAAAAGAGACGCAGACAAAATTGCTAAATTTAAATGTTTTTGCTTGAGTTCCTTTCTTGTTTTTGGCTGTTTTTCAACCGAATTTTCGTTTTAAAAGTAATTTTTAGATTAAAAAATTTGCAAAAATTAGTTTTTCATGAGAAAATTCCATGAAAAACTGCCAAAATCCTCTAAAATCCTCTGAAGTCGATTTTTTCCAGAAAACAACTCTACGAAAAAAATGGTTTTAACAGTTGCCGAAGCCAAGAAGCTAACTGTGCCTCGTCTTAAAGAGGAGCTGACGAAACGTGGATTGGATAGTGCTGGAAATAAGCCAGAGCTGCTTGCCAGGCTAACGGAGAGTATTGAGCTGGTAAGAGATTTTTTTTGAAAAATTTGAAATTTCTGTTCGGGAAAATGTCGAAAAAACGGACTTAAATAGCTAAAAACCCCCATAGAACTTAAATAAGTATGTAAAAATTGTTGTTTCCTGGAAAAATCTATTTTTACTTCAATACAATGGAAAATTTTGGTCAAAACTCAGATTTTGCCGAATCAGTTTTAAAATTAGATAGAAATCGAAAAATAGACAGAAAAACGCTATTTCGAATTTTGAATATTTGAATTTCGAAAAACTAGGTCAAAATTCATTGAAATTACAATTTCCAATTTTCAGGCCGCCGAAGATTTGATTCTGGGCGATGCTGGAAGTGTTGCTGCCGACGCTCATCAAGATCTCAACGATGATATTCTGAACGACGACCTACTGGACGTTCCAAGCATCGATGGGGATCTTCTGGGCGAGACGACGGCCAGTTCAATTGAAGAAGAGCAAAAAGAGACAGAGAAAGTAGAAAAGAAAGGAGAAATGGTGACCGCAGAAGTGATCCGGCTGACAAACCAGTGGATATTGTCACTGTTGAGCAAAATAAGCGAGCTAGAGCTATTCGATTCGGTCTCCCAGTCACTGCGGAGGATCTGGGCTCGGAAGATGCTAAAGCAGCAAGAGCTAAGAGGTAAGAACTAGTTTTTGATGTCGAATTGACGAATTTGGAGTCAATGTCCATGAATTTTGATTAAGGCTGTTCTAAAAAAAAAAAGAAAGTTTTTTTGAATTTGGACTGCTCAAAAATGTGCTAGAATTGTGCTAGAATCTGCATCTGCATACCCTATTATTCAGTTCCCCCAAAATGCTTTTTTCTAGATTCGGCTTGCCAGAAGACGCAAAACGACTCGGTTCTGATGATGCCAAGGCCAGAAGAGCCGAAAGATTCGGAATCCAATCTCCAGCTACTGCTAAACAAGAAAAGGACGAGAAACTGGCTGCTCGTGCCGCTCGTTTCGGTCTTCCAGTAGGCGGTGCCTCTCCAAAAGTGGGCGGAGCCACAAAGGACGCGAAGCTGGCTGAAAGAGCCAAAAGATTCGGAGGAGCTGTGGATGATGCGGAAATGGAGGCGAAAAAGAAGGCTCGATTGGAGAGATTTGGAAATGGATCGAAATAAATTAACCTTTTTTTGTTATTGTACATTTTTCTATTTTTATCTGTTTAGGAGAACATGTGTGATTTTGAGAGGGGAAAATTGGAAAAACTATTCGCTGAAAATTCTCTATTTCCGCTAATTACAAGCATTTCGAGCCATCCCCTTCGAGTTGAAAAATCGATTTACCTTCAAAAATTCCATAGTTCTCTCCGCCTCTCCCGTCTCCCTTCAAAATTTCGTCGAAATTTCTAAACTTTTCCTATTATCCTTGTCAGAGAAAAAAAGGTTGAGTCGAAGTGTGTGCGATGTTTATAAACAAATATCTGAAAACGTAAACAACCGGAAACATTTGAAACGAGTGCGACAGTAACCCGGCGGGAAAATGTTAAATTTACCTGTTTTTTAGTTTTTCTCATATTTTGCAGCAAATTTCGTCGAATATGGTTTGTTTTTCATTGTTTTTTGCGGTATTTTAAAATGTATTCGACGAAATTTGCTGCAAAACATGCGAAAAGCTAAAAAATGAGTACCGTAAAACCTGTAATGGAAGTGCCCCTTGACTTTCAACTTTGAGCTCAATTATCTCGGTTCCTGATAAAGATCAAAAATGTGTCAACTG